TATCATTCTGTGTAATGCCAAAGGCAACAGTCTTGGACATGCTAATACTAAAATATGTATCTACCTTCTATGCCTTTTTCCTAATCATTGCCACCATTGTCATTTTAAAGCTAAACTCGTTCTATGCCTGCATTAAATTCTGTCACAAATGTGGTAGGCGTAATATCCGTGGCTCAGTCATCAATGGTCTGACTGCATTTCTTGTTCTCTCTTATTACAGATGCCTCATAATAACAATAAAGATACTCTTCCCATCATATATTTCCATAGCTCATCATGAAACATATGTTCCTTTCTACAATGGGAACCTCAGCTTCATGAAAGATACTCATTTGATGTATGCTATACCAGCTCTGCTCTGTTTTGTATGCATAATACTACCTCCTCCTCTTTTACTGATATTTGAGCCATTGCTCATTCAGTTCAGTGGAAGGATCAACTTGAGGAGGAATAGGCTAACATACACTCTTCATATACTGAGGATGAAAATGAAACCATTCCTGGACTCATTTCAAGGTTGCTTCAGAGACAATTGTCGCTCATTTGCTGGACTGTTCTTTCTGTATCGTATACTCATAGTTCCTGGTGAGTATCTGAATGGTCTAGTGTGGCATAACAGCTATGAAGGTGCTATCTTGTTCCTGGTCCTCCTGCTACACTCAATGTGTCATCCTTTTCAAAACTGGCACCACAACCAGTCAGACATATTTCTCTTGGTTGATCTCCTTATGATTAATTTTCTAATGGGGATAGAGTATTTGATATTTATCCACGAGCCTTTTGAAGCAAATTTGATAGATGATAAAATTACGGCAGAGTGTATTGGTGCATTGATACTTGTGCTTATACTGATACCACTAGGATATTTGCTGGTGTATGCTTATAAGAAGGTATTCCCTAAAACAAATCATGCTGTCTCCAATAATAACGAGCGCAGTGACAGTCTCCCAGCACGACTATTGGACAGTCAAGTTGACAATTATGGATCATTTAATCACTGATTAAACTACAGTTAATTTTGTTTGCAATAATAATTAGCTTGCAGTAATAATATTACTGCTTTGTTGTATAGCTTTTAGTGTTAGTCAATATAGATCCACAAAATCAATTAATGCAGCTATAGCTAATGTTTATTTAAGTGGCATAACCAATTCATATGTGCATATGTGATTTCAATCATTCCGGCAAGCACAATGTAGACCATTAATGATTTTCTTCACTGACCTTAATCTTATAAATAAAATTAATTAGAAGAAAACTATGAATTGGGAATTGTGTAATTGAGAAATTAATAGTCATCATTAAAAGCTATCTGTTTAGTCCCAAGTTAATTGAGGGTTAGGCTGTATAAGACCATAATCCATTGCTTTACTCAAAGCTCTCTTGGCCTCAGCTTTTAACTTATCATTATAATCTCCTTGGACATAGGCCATTAGTATCTCAAGGAAAGCATCATCTTTAATTATGATTTCTTCTCCAATCTCTTGATCAGCCTCTATCAGGTTGGCAAGTATGTAAAGGCCACGATAAAGAAGGTCTTCTTCTCCTTTGGTCAGCAGCTCCTTAAGTATGTCTTTAGAAGATTTCACCTCAAGGATCTTACGACAGATCTTCTTGTCATGAGAGAGCTGAGCAAGTCCTCCGGAGGCCGCACGAGCTAGGGCCAGATCTTCCTCGCCAGAAAAGAGAGTCCACAGTTTGACCCTCTCCAGATCATCTCCGTGAAAGCGCTCAAAAACCTCATCAACTTGTATCATATTGCAGAGTAGTTCAGTTGCGGCACGTCGTATGAGATCGTCCTCTTCAAACATGAGTCCCTCGGCTGTCGGTATTGCCCCCTCTCTCACAATACGCCCACGCACATCATCGCTAGTGGATGCTAGATTAGTGAGGGCCATGAGTCCTTCAAACTGCTGTAAGCCGCTGCTTTGAAAACCAAGGAGCTTGACAAGTGGGCGTACAATCTCCAGCGACCGTTGACCAGGGAAGGCAAGACGTGGGTCACTAGTGATCCCAATTTTAGCAAGAGACTGTGCAGCAAATAGCTTCCCCTTATCTGTGTTGTTATCCAATGATAGCTGTATTAATGATTTCACTCCACCTTGCTGCACTATAGAGCCACGATGAGAGACTTCACCAACTAAAGCTAAGAATACACGACTGGCCTGCTCTCTAATGGCAGAACTGCCAGTAGCTGCCGTCAATTCCGACAACACTCCAACCACTTTACTCTTTAAAAGCTCTTCTATTCTCTTCTTTACGTATTTCGGTTCATCAAACTCGTGCTCTTTAGGCATGTTTTCACCGGCAAATTTCCCGAGTTCTTCGAGTTCAGGGTTTCTCTCTGGTTTATCGTAGCTGTTGGTGAGGTTGACGAGGATTGATGCTATCCCATAAAGGAGGGATTTATCAGGAGAGGACTTGACGAGATCAAAAAGGACTTTTAGGGCGGGGCCATCTTTAACGAGCTCCTCCTTCACTTCTGCATCTAACGAGAGAAAAGCTATTCCCTCTGCGGCCCATTTTCTTAGGTTATCTCCTGTAACAGAGAATGAAAAAATAATCAAAGAATTGTAGTGTGTAATGTGTAATACATGTATGTACATGTACATGTAAAAAATAATTTACATGTGTATTCACGATAATAAAAATAATCAGTTAATCACTGCCATTTTTTGCCATTTTATTTTTAATGTCTCTAGTGAGCAAATGCATGTACATATACATTATTTTAAAATTATAATTTGATGAACCACCATATTAAAAATTCATAATCATAATGGTGTCTTGGAGTAGTTTTAAAGGCAGTGATGACCTTCAATTTTGCCTTGCCTTTGGCTTTAGTTGAGCTGTTTTCATGGAAAAGAATCTCCTAACTATTTTTGACAAAATACACGGCATTTTGGTCTTTCAAATTCATTTTTTAAAAATCCAAATTTGATTAAAATCAGCTACACAACATTAGAACATGTACATGCATCAGAAAAAATTATAAGAAGGAAGAAATCTCTCCTTTTAAATTTTGGCAAAATTTGCCCCGAGACCATGTACTACAGTACAGGGACTTTGGCTCGATTTTGGAGCAAATTTAAAAATTCATATAAAATCTAAATTTGATCGGAATCAGTTCAAACTTTCTATACAACATAAGAACATGTATATGCATCAAAAAAAATTATAAAAATGGAGAATTCTCTCCTTTTAAATTTTGACAAAATTTGCCCCGAGACCATGTACTATATAGTACAGGGACTTTGGCTCGATTTTGGAGCAACTTCAAAAATTCATAAAAAATCTAAATTTGATCGGAATCAGTTCAAACTTTCTATACAACATAAGAACATGTATATGCATTTAAAAAATTATAAAAATAGAGAATTCTCTCCTTTTAAATTTTGACAAAATTTGCCCCGAGACCATGTACTATAGTACAGGGACTTTGGCTCAATTTTGGAGCAACTTCAAAAATTCGTAAAAAATCTAAAATTGATCGGAATCAGTCCAAACTTTCTGTACAACATAAGAACATGTATATGCATCAGGAAAAATTATAAAAATGGAGAAATCTCTCCTTTTAAATTTTGGCAAAATTTGCCCCGAGACCATGTACTATAGTACAGGGACTTTGGGTCGATTTTGGAGCATCTTCAAAAATTCATAAAAAATCTAAAATTGATCGGAATCAGTCCAAACTTTCTGTACAACACAAGAAAATGTATATGTATCAGGAAAAATTATAAAAATGAAGAATTCTCTCCTTTTAAATTTTGAAAAAATTTGTCCCGAGACCATGTACTATAGTACAGGGAGTTAAGCAAGAGTTTGGAACAACTTTAAAACATTATGTTGAGGACACTTTGCACACCAAACAGTACTGATTATTTTCATTATGATTTTTTATTATTATCACTATTATTATTATTATTATTATCATCATTACCTTTCTTCGTACTCACAAGGAACCTCCTACAAGTCTTCTCCAGTTTAAGAGTAGCTCCCTCAGCAAACGGCTGCTTATTAACATTACCACCACTGGAACTGCCCAACTTACACAAACCAACAAGCGCCCGGACCTTTATCCTGTCATCCGAGGAATGATAGAGTTTCTTGAGTGCCGGGAGACCTTTACTCATGATCCCCTGACAACGAGTGCTATCAGAAGCAGCGAGGGTGATCGCTTCGGCAGCTGCTACTTGACAGGTAGGATCGGGCGACTCTGACATCAAGATTGATAACGATAGAATAGCATCCTCAGAGAATATCTCATTCCCTAGGCTTGTCACACCCTGTAGAAGACAGGAGAGAGACGAGAGGAGACCGAGTTGGGACTGGATGTCAGACTGGAGCATCTGGGTCTTAAAGAAGCCCTGACACTGCTCCATGAAGAGCTCCCTAAGCCTCTTATCATGACGACCTTGAATGCTATTATGAAGCGTGGAGAGAACCATTGATGCATTCATACGACACTCAGGACTAACAGGTAACCGATCCTCCTCCTCCTCCTCCCCCTCTTCTAGTTCTTCCTTACTCAGCTCTTCCCACGTTTCTGCAGCCACTTTTAAAACGTGTTTTACAAGTTCTTGTTCAATGTACAGCTGTGGCATGCCCACCTGTGGGACTGTCTTAACAAAGAATTCCAATAGGCCATCTCTTGTATTTGGACTGACTCTGTGGCTTGATAGTGATATGAATATCAGTTGCACTATTGGTAATACGAGAGGAGATAAAGGACTGATAGATTCAGCTGCTTCTTTATTCATCTTCTCATTTTCTTTCTTCATCTCTCCCTCCTCCACATTTTCTGTCTTTGTCTCTTTGGGTTTCTCCATTGGTTTCTTCGCCTCTTTCTCTCCAACACTTCCTCCATTAGCAATTGGTGGTATCGCAGTCAAGGATAACACCATTTCTTTTAATATGGCTACAGCACTCATTCCTATGTTAGGCTGGGCGGAGTTTATGTGACTTGACATCTTATCAAGTGAGAACTGATTAAAGACAGCCTCTGATCGGGATTTATTACCAGAGACAAGACCAACGTAAACTTGTAAAACATGATTGACGAGTTCCGACGATTGGTCCTGTAAATGTGGAAGGAGACTGGTCACGCCTCCAGAGCGTATTATTCGATCCGCCCCACCTTCTTCACGACTCAAAATGGCAAGGTTCTTAGCTGCTTGGGTTCTCTGATCAGACGAGAGGGACGAGTCAGATAAACGCTTAAACATTTCGTTTACTAAACTGTCTGTTGATTGGTACCGATCAGTTGCTGTTTTGAGTGATATCATTAACTTTCTTGCCATTTCGTTAGCTTCCTTGTTCTTTGGGTCAACTTTAAGTAACTTCTTGAGTTGAACTAGCGACTCTGCTTCATTTCCTGTTCCTTCCAGCGCCTGTGCATACCTGTAGAGTGACTTGGGGTCGTTTGGGTTGATTCTAAGAGCAGAAAGACAATCTGACTTGGCCTCTGAGAAACGCTCTTGCTTCAAGTAACAGGCTGCCCTGTTCTTGTAATAAACTAGAAGGTCGTCTGATTTACACTCCTCTCCCTCGCCAGTTGATATTTCTATAGCCCTAGTATAGCATTGGGCCGCCTTTCCATACTCCTTTCTTTTAAAGTGCTCGTTTCCCTCTTCCTTGATTGCTCTGGCCGCCATTTAATTTTAGTTCTAAGGGGTGGAGTCAGTTCACAATAATTAATTAAGCAATTAAATTTTTTAAATTTGAATAAAAATTATTTAAGACCTAATAAATAATAATAATAATAATAATTTCATAATAATTATTTAAGACCTAACTATAAAAAATAATAACAACTCTTGATAATAACTATTAAATACCATTATCATTATTATGAAAGCTATTATTGCTTAGTTGTGGTTCAGGAGACTACATTATAGGAGCCAATCTTTCTTTGCGAAAATGTTCAGTTACTTCATCATGCAATTCCTTTATTTTTTCCTGGCATTGAGCCAATGATTCTTCTAATCCTATATAGTATAATAAATACATGTCACCAAAAGTGGTCACAATGTACATAAAAGTTACATACCAAGAAATGATTTCGAATTTTCTCGCAGTATTTCTTTTTTAAAACTTAACAAACGCGTTTCAGTATCCTACACCAATACATGATGGTAAGTTTGATGAATGTGTCTAAAAATTTACTTCACTAAGAGTTTTAAGTTGTTGATCCATTGTCTCCGAGGTAGAAGACTGAAGCCTCTCAATTTTGTCAGTATTAGAAGATAACTTCTCCATTATACTCTTGTAGTTTTTGTCAGCCATTAGATACAGCAATGCAAATGTTGTAACACAGATGACAATTAGTGCTGATATCCAATAATATGTAATGCCAGAGTCCTTGATTACTGTTATAAAAATAATAAATTTAATGCACCATATCAAGAGGGGAATGTATACTTTTGGCCATAGCAATAGCTTACCTATTGGATTCCTTTCGGCGGATTTCTCTTCTAATTATTTATGAAAATAACTACTAAAATATCTACATTTTATACCTATATAGTGCCTAATTGCTTCCATTTGTACCATGCTAACTTGGAGCTGGCTCTTACGAATTAAATCACTCACATTTCTACTTTCTTGAGTATCATGCACCTATAATAAGTAAAATAAAAATAAATTATACTTAATAATAAGAATTAAAATAAGAATTATTTATACTTAATAATAAATTATATATTTGCATGCATACTTTGCCATGACTATACACATTGACATATCCAATAGTCAACTGCTGTATGCCTTTTTGTTTAAGTGCTTCAATATTTTTGACAGCTGTTGCAGTAAGCACATCAGTTAGAATCAAAGGAAAGGAGCAAATGATGATAAAGGAATTACTCTCTCGTATGGTAACTAGCTTCACACTGAAGAAATAATTTTCAAATGCAATTTGAAGAAGATCCTCAATGTCATTTAATGTATTATCGTCAACTTTTCTATTGACTTCTATTGTAATTCTTTCTCCTTTGAGAATTGGATGTTTGTAAATTGTTTCATTAAGACCAAATCGCAGTGAGACATCTTTACAAAACTCTTCAACCATTTTCTTGTATCGTTTAATGATTGGTTTAGCTTCTTGAATCTCTAAGTATCTGATAATTTCCTCTAGAGTAGTGATATCAATTAATGAGCATTTGTCCTTCATAATGTTTAATACACTTTCTTTCACTGGCTTTTCTCCAACAAATTTGGAATCTATGAAAAAATAATCCATTAGCTTTTCTTGAGATGCTGGAAATTTTATTAAATTGACTACATCTAATATTGTCGTCCACCATAAAAAACGCAATTCTTTAAATTTAGGTTCATAATTCCTTGGTATTCTAATTTTAACGGCCCCAGCAATGTCCACAGATTCAGTTTCTTCATCAGTAAACTTTTTGCCTGCATTATAATAGCAAATAAAATTACAACAATTCATTTTGTATTACCATATTCCAACAGAATAGACTTCCCAACCAATTCAGTAGTTGTAAACTTTTTAAGAATAACGGCAAATTTTTTAACATTCTTATAATTTTTGTACACAATTTTATGCACTTCATCAAGCAAAATGTCTGTTCCCATTCCTTTATTAGTCTCAATCCTTTTAAGTACTTTATCACTAATCATTTCTTCTTTATGCAGTAGCGTAGCTATGGCTTCGGGATAACCACGAATAGATGAAAAAATCCTCTTGTGAAATTTATTAAATATGAAGCAAGCTGGCTGCTCTAAAATGGAACCAATTAAATTTATATACATTCAGAACATCAACATACTAGATATTACCAATATCAGATCAATATCATGTAATGCAACTATTTTTTGAGTGACATTTATTTCGATCAACTAACTTTCTTTATCAATGTCTTCGGCTGCAGCATTTTCTCCTATACTCCTAAGAGCATTCAGTAATGTCTCCCAGTTAGGCCCACCAGTTTCATTCACCAGATCTTCCTTACGCAACCAGCTACTCAAACACTCTCTAAGACACCTCTCAACATTCTTAATATGATTTGTCTCAATAACACCAATGGTGTCATCTGTTAGGCCTAATGCAAGACATAAGGACTGCCAATTTCTTCCTTTGTAATAATATTTTTTTAGTGTGTTGAGAGTTAGTTGAAGCTCCCCGAGTTTAAGCTGATCTTCCAGTGGAACTCTACCACCTGATTCCTGCATAAAACACAATCTTTTGCTCATGACGTACTTATTAACATACCTTTTCTGGGACTATAGCAGATTGAGAAGCAGTAGCTGAAAAGAAACATAAAATGCATATCACTACAGAAAGGATCATCTCAACGAATTTAATTCAATTATGATTGAGGGGTGGTACGGTACATCTACAGGTGGGTGGGGCTCGATTTTGCCATCATGTGTAGTGACTGGACCACTTTCAAGACTAGAGAGAAAGGGAATAAGAGAAAAGGTACAAACCGGAGCACTGATGGACAGAAAGGAGCTAATGGGAACACTGAAGTTATTAGGAAAAGAAAGACAGCTGGAAAACCAGGTGAGTATTAAAATTCATTAAGATGAACATGCAAGTTATTGGTTCTTCAACTTGAATTATTTTGTGAAGCTCTACCAGTACATGGGCTAAATGATTGGCTGGAGTTTCCCTGTACATGTAATGGGAGGTTCAAAGTAACTCACTTCATTTACACCATTGTTTACACCTTTGCTTTACGAGCTCCACCCAATTGTAAAACTATGTACAATGCAACTGAGTGACTTATAGTTTATTTTAAATAATTTTATTAAACACACACACACAGTTCCTTCACAGAAGACAATGGCTATGGTGCAGTCAATCAAAGAAAGTGGTAGCAAATATTTGGAAAAGAGAAAGAAAGAGGATCCATTAGAAGGGAGCAGCGAGGAGGAGGAGGAGGAGGATGGACATGGGGAAAGCAAGAGAGAAGAGTTGCTTAAGAAGACTCTAAAAGAATATTATTCATCTTTACCTTCTGATAAAACAGGTAACCCAGTATTAGTATGTACATTGTACAGTGGATCTTGTTTGTGAATTGACTAATCTATTAGACTATTTATTATAATACTATTTATTTCTTTTCCAGAGATGAAAGATCTTCCGGAGTTTTTCAGTGAAGCTTTCATGGCTTCATCTAGTGCCTGTCTCATCTGTCTGTCATCAATACGACGAGTTCAACCAGTAATCACCTGACTATCATGTGACTATCATGTGACATATAACGTACATACAATGTAGGTATGGAGTTGTCTGCAGTGTTTTTGCCTGTTTCATCTTCAATGCATTCAGCACTGGATAAAAGACGGGACTCAAAGCCACGCCCTTCTTTCCGCTCACTTATTCCCCGATCAAGAGAGGCAGTGGGCATGTCCAAAGTGTCGGAGGGACTACCCGTTGTCTCAGACTCCCAAAGTGTACGTGTGTTTTTGTGGTAAGGTAGAGGATCCTGTTGATGACCCGTGGGTACTCCCTCATTCCTGTGGGGAGATCTGTAATAAAGGGCTAGTTCCTTCTTGTGGGCATAGATGTGTCTCACTTTGTCATCCTGGTCAGTTTTAAAATTAAATAATTTATATAATGATTAATCAATGATTATTCAGTATTCACATGCATATTGCAATACATGTATATGCATTATCTTTTGCAGAAACTACATGTATTGTATTGCTTAGCTTTAACTTTATAAGTACATAAGTTTGCATTTATAGGCTCAAAGGCTTAGTAGTCTTTTATAGTATTTCAGCTGAACTTGTAGCTACATTAAGTTTTACCAGCAGATACACAATGTATTTTGTGTTTCATTTTTATACTACTATTCCTCCTCTTCCTCTCTCTCTCTCTCTCTCTCTCTCCCCCTCTCCCTCTCTCTCTCTCCCCCTCTCACTCTCTCTCTCTCAGGTCCTTGTCCTCCATGCCCTAAAACAATCAGTGTATCATGTTATTGTGGTCGTGGTGGGTTGGTGGTTAAAAGGTGTGGCTCCAAAGGTTGGTCTTGTGGGCGTGTCTGTCGTAAAATCCTCTCCTGCTCTCAACACGTGTGTGAGTCAAAATGTCACGAAGGTGAGTGGATCTATTATTATTAGCATGTGACTGGATGGTCATGTGACTGGATGGTCATGTGACTGGGTGGTCTTGTGATTGATAGGTGAGTGTCCCCAGTGTCAGTATACACTGGAGCAAGAGTGTAGGTGTGGTAGGAGGAGAGAAGAGAAACCCTGTGCCCAGTTGGACTGGCAGTGCAATCAGGTAATTATTATAATCCTCAGTTATTGTTTTTTGTTGTAGAAATGATTATTATATTTAATCATCATTTTAATGTAAAAGTATTGTTCATTGTAAATATTTTGGAACTCGTTCAATTATTACTGATTACAATGTATTTTATTTTGCATGTTTATTTTTCAAAAAAAAATTAACAATGAAACTTTTGTAAATTTGTGGGTATTTCAAACCATTAAAGCTTACAAAAGTACATGATTTTTTAATGATAATGTACTCACAAATGTTGCTTTGTTGTAGAAATACTATATTTAATTGTAAAAGTACTTTTAAAAGCACTGTTCATTGTAAATATTTTAGAACTCGCTCTCAATCACTGCATGATTGTATTATTGTACATATTACAGGTCTGTGATAAGAAGCTCTCCTGTGGCCACCATAGCTGTGAGGAGGTGTGTCACACTGGTGTCTGTGGAGACTGTCCCAGAGGACGTCCCAGGGCGTGTCCCTGTACAAAGACCACCCACAGTCTCTCATGTACTGCCGATGTGCCTACATGTGGCGATACATGTGGGAAGGTGTGTCATCATGTGACAATCACCTGATCATTATTGATTGTTATTTTGTTATTAATTTTATAGAAATTGTCTTGTGGTGTTCATAAGTGTATGCGCTTGTGTCATTATGGAGACTGTGGACATGTAAAACATAATTATTAATTTAATATAGTATAGCAAATATTTGTGGCTCAGAATTTTTGTGAATTTGCAAAATGACTTGGGTATTGATTTTTAAAAGTTTTCTACCATTTTTGCCGTATTTTATTAATTTTTTTGATTCAGTTCCTCAAAGACAAGATTTGTGAAAATTTTGAGCCACAAAGCTTCTTGCTATACAGTATTATATTTATGTACATGGATGTGCTTGTATCTTTAATAGTGTATTCAGAGGATTACCAAAAGTTGCAGGTGTAAGAAGAAGACTAAAGAAATAACTTGTGGTACTGAGTTCCTGTGTGAAGCTAAGTGTACTAACACCAGACAATGTGGGAGACATCTTTGTAAGAGAAAAGTAAGTTGAATATTATATATTGTGATAATTTGGTACTCTCTGTCTCTGTACTGTTTATAATTCTCTCTCTTTTTATTCTCTTAAGTGTTGTGACGGCCAGTGTCCACCGTGTGAACAGTCATGTGGTAGAACGTTGGTCTGTGGTCATCACAAATGCTCAGCTCCTTGTCATCCTGGTAATGCAATAATAATAGTACTAATAACAATGACAGTAATGATTCAATTCAAGTAACTCCCGAATGAGGCCAAAGTCCCTGTACTGTAGTACATGGTTTTGGGCCAAATTTTGCCAAAAATGAAAAGGAGAGATTTCTTCATTTTAATAATTTTCCTGATACATATATATTGTACATGTTCTTATGTTGTGACAATTACAATAAATATATTCGTAATTATTCATTAACTTCACACTCTCTCTTTCATTAGGTGATTGCTATCCTTGTTCATTAACCATTACGCTCACCTGTAGGTGTGGCAAGACAAAAAGACACGCCCTCTGTATCCAACGGCAACGAGTGAGGCCTCCCCTCTGTAGAGAACCTTGTCTTGCTCCTCCAAAATGTCATCATTTGTCTCGTGCTCCTCATCGCTGTCATAACGGACCCTGTCCACCTTGTTCCTTTGTGTGTGGGTTGGTGCATGAGGGGTGTGGTCACTCTTGTCCCTCTGTCTGTCATACTGAACCAAGAAGCAAGCCAAAAGAGGTGAGAGCAATAAAACTAATTTTAGTGGTTAATAGTTCTACCATATACTGGTTTATTTTTGCGGTGAAATATTTTCACGAATTTTTCTTTTTTGCTTTGTTGCGAAAATTTTCTACCACAAAACTATGCATCTCCATTGCCATGTGGTGCAGTCTGCAAGCTATTCGTGAAAATTAATACTGCAATATTTTAGAAATGCAAGATTTGTGATAATTTTCTACTGTGAAAATAAACTGGTATATGGTATGTGAAAAATTATCAATATAAAATTTACTGTTCATGCTTATTGAGTAATGTACCATTACATAAACATCTCTGTGGATGCTTATTGTGTTGTTTTATTTCTTTCTACATTGATCTGAAACTCTGAATAACTTGTGGCATTATTATTAGTTAAATCTCAATAATAGAAAACTAGAAACAAAGCAGCAATTAATGTCCTTTAGTCTAGTTTACCATAATATTAGTTATGGCGCCTAACTTTCATCTCTGTGAACTTCAGGGAATAACTATTGCCTTTGAAAGCATTCCAGATGACTCCTGTCCATGCACTCACAGAACTGCTATGAGAATAAGGAGCATTGAGTAGTGCACTGTAGCAGTTATTATACCACCATGCTCCTGGATGATCATTTGCACAGTTGCTCCCACCACGTTTATCATTATCTTTATCTTTAGTTGTAAACTTCATCATGTTGTGTATGCTCATCAATGAGTCTCCAGCAGTTCCTGTATATCCTTGAATGACAAGAGTATATTGTGTGTATGAATCAAGTATTTCAAAATTGTTGTATTTAGCATAAGCTCTGCTGCCTTCAAAGTCTCCAAGATCAACTCTTAAATAGTTTGATCCTTGAGGAGTGAGACGATGAATGTTTCTCAGTCCTAGCCAATGCTCTCCTGTTAGGTTACCAAACCCTTTCTCATATTCAGACCAGCCACGAAGGAAGTCAACAGATCCATCTTGTCTCCTCTGAAATACAGTCCATCCACCACCATCAGTCTCCATATCACAGTAAACCTGTTAATGGAATATAGTTCATTAAACTAGGAGTCATCTTGTATACTTGAAAAGGTGAGTCTCCATCAGGTTTGATAGGATATACACCACTCTTAGTAGCACCAGCATCAAACCAGGCCTTACAATCTTTAGCAACAGGACAATCTATACAATAACAAGTTAATCATATACAATACACTGTACAATGATTACCAATAGGAGCAGTAACACTTGAGTCACTGTAGAAAGGAGAATTATTATCATGACATATTCCTATCACATTGGTACAACAGTAGATCACTGCTAATAGTAGACACAATCCATTCATGATGAAGAACACCCTGATTCTGGTATTCTACACTATTCCAATGGTTTTTACACCCTTTGAATTTATCAGTAGACTGTAGCTACACCCCAGCTTTATAACCCATCCTAGCTATCAGCTCCATCCTACTCTTATCTGTTTCCTGAACTTTCCTCTCCTTTAATTGTATCATATCTGCTTGTGTAAAGTCTTTGGTTACTGTAGGAGGTTTAGGTTCTCTGACTACACCCTTTAATGATCTAAGCATAGATAGTATTATGATGTTATATAGCCCACTTTTGCATACTAAAAATCTTTAATTTTATTCTTATATACTTTCTAATGCTTTAATTATTTTTTCATTTATACTTTTCCCTTTTCTTATCTCTTCCCTTCCCTGCCTCTCCCTCTCTCTTTCTATTCTTCTCTCCCCTCTCAGTCTGCTCCAATGGATGCTACCCTCCCCTGGGATCAAATGAAGCTCATATTACAAAGATACGAAGAAGACATGAAGCAGCTGATAGTGGACCCCTGTCCCTCATGCATCGTACTAGTCCCTCAGTGAGTCACATGATAGTCACATGATGCATTGTCAATGTGATTCATTTATTTTAGGATATGCATTGGTGGTCATGAAGTAAGCACACACACATTGCATATACAGTACATGTACATGTATTACCGTTTATTTAATTTTACTGGATTAGAGTTTTGCAAAAATTAGATTACCCATATAATTACATGCCACATTCAATAATACATGACACAGTCTTATAGTAAAAATTAAATCACAGCACAATTTTAAAACACAAAAATTTTCTACCGCACAAATTTCCTGATTTACGGTATTACATGTATTCATATGTATTAGATGGATACTGTTATACATTTACACATTCATGTACTGTATAGCAGCAAATTTTAGAGAGGGTTAAATTTGACTAATTTGGCATTTTGATAGCCATTTGCCGAAATAAAAATTCGCCATTTTGAGCGATTATACGCATGCTCAATGGCACATGGCCACAAATTCACCAATCACGAAAAATTATCAATTCGCCAAATTTAACTCCCTCCAAAATTCCCTTCTATACGAGGTATGTATAGTGGGTAAAATTTCACATACATTAGTACATATACAATGTGCTTATATTCATTTTTGTTTTTTAAGGTTAGGAATTTCCCTTGTTCTGAGAGACATCCTTATGCATGTGGTAAAAAGTGTGGACGTGTCCTTTCTTGTAGTAACCATTACTGTGAGAGACCATGTCATAATGTCGTTAATCCTCCGTCTGATAATGAGGTATGATTATTCATTAACGAAGTGCTCGTGAATATTAATGAGGTATTCTTGTAACTGTAGGCTGGGGAAGATTGTTCATCGTGTGAATTAGATTGTCAGAAGCCACGCCCATTGGGTTGTACACACACATGCAAGTTACCTTGTCATCCAGGTAGAGATGACCTTTTGACCTTTGACCTCTTGACCTTTGGTTATTAATAGGAGATTGTCCTCAATGCATGCACTCCATCAGACTGAGGTGTCATTGTTCTACTATGCCAATAACACTACACTGCCAGTGAGTCCATGAATACCGTATAGCGGAAAATTTTCGTGGCCCAAAATTTTCGTGGATCCGTCCAAAAATCAATTTCGTGGCTTTAATTTTCGTGGTTTTCTACAATTCGGCCATCTTAAACCGTATAAAATCAATTTTCGCGGATTTTATTTTCGTGGGTTTTGAAAAAAACGCGAAATCCGCGAAAATTTTGGGCCACGAAAATTTTCCGCTATACGGTAAATGATAAAATTAAATACTAGATCAAATTCCTTTCTTTTTCATTTAATGGCATTTTGTGTTGTTGTAAAAAAATTAATTAATGAAATGATATTTTTAGTGTTTGGACATCAACAGATGATGATCAAAAGTCAAAACTTCAAGCATGTAACAACCAATGTACCAAACTGGTAAGTGTCTATAATATGTATTAAAGTAGGGCTCCTGATTAAAACTAGGAAAATTTTTAGAAATTTGTATCATGAAAAATTTTTAATAAACTAGGCTTAATATTTATGTGTATTCAAGGCCATCAGTGATATTAGAATAGAGTACTGTTTGTCAATCTACATGTAAATGCATTTAATTTCTTTATTTTTATTTTTATCTCTAATCAAGTTATCTTGTGGACATCGTTGTTCATATTCTTGTCACTCTGGTAACTGCTCACCAGTTGATCAGTGTTCTCAAAAGGTCACTTTCAGATGTTTGTGTAAACGACTTAAAAAGGTATTTATTTATAAAATTTGGTCACTTCAATTCTTAATAATTATTGTGATTGTTAGGATTTGAAATGTTATGAGAATGAGAAGAGGCCAGTCTGCAATGAAGAATGCTCAAGAATTAAGAAAGAGAAAGAAGAGGTTTGTCTATTGAATGGGCACACACACATAATGCAACATTACCAAAACTGTATACTATTCATACAATCATAATGTACATGTAGCATACATAGGTAGGATAATTTAGTTTGGGCTGCTCTATAATAAAAATTTTGTTAGTAAAAATCTACCAATGGCCCACACTTTTCTAAATGCATGCTTTGTCAACCACAATCCTGGTAGTTTTGGATTCAAAACTTTTAAAATTTTAGTTCCAAATATGAGTTTCAACCCTTAAAAATAGATCTATTTCATAGTAGTTGAGTTTGATTTCTTTAATGGTTTTAAATGTTTATAGGAAAGAGCCAGGAAACATGCTGAAGCAATGGCAGAGGAGGAGAGAGTAAAGGAGGCAGAGAGAGAGGCACTTTTGAGAAGAATACAAGGACAACCAAGAAAAAAGAAAAATAGGAAACTGCAAGAATCAAAGAGCATTGAACCGTCGTGTCTTGTAAAACATAAACTCAAAATAATTGTAGCTATTATTGTCATCATAACACTAGGAATTGTTTTACTAATATTCAGTTAATTAATGCTGCTTTAGTTAACTATAACTAAAACTAAAACCCTTTTAGTTAGGCCAGATTCACTTTTAGTTAAAAAACTATAACTAATTAAATCTTTTGAAAAAATTCTTAAACTAACTAAAAATATTTAAAAATTTAAAAAACTAACTATTACTAACTAAAAGTAATTTTATTAAAGCATACTAACTAAAATCAAAATCTAAAAGTTCCAAAACTAACTATTAACTAAAACAACTCTACAGTTAATCAACGAGACATTTATTTTTTTGTAATCTTCATTATGGACACTTTCAAAAAATATTCATAGCCTTTAAAATGATACCAGTTCACTCCAGTATGAGGTATGCTAGAACCAACTAAATATTTACCGTTAAGATTTGAAAAATGACAATAGTTGTACCACCATGCTCCATTGCTTGTATTAGCACAATTATAGTGTGTGAGTTATCATTGTCACAATCATGAGTTGTAAATTTCATGTTATCATGAATAGCTAAGCTGTCATTAGCATTCCCAGTGTATCCTCCTACTGTTAGTGTGTATTTTGTATGTGCACCTCCAACTATAAATGTAGAATAATGAGCAAACACACCGACACCTTCAAAGTCCTTAAGGTCAACATGTAGACTAGTATTGCCTGTTGCTGTGAGTCGGTGTATTTTATCAAGTCCCAGCCAGAACTCTCCATTGAGATTTCCAAATCCTTTTTGGTAGTCGGCCCACTTGAGATAAAAGTTAACCGAACCATCCATTCTCCTTTGAAATACAGTCCAGCCACCACCATTACTCATATCACAATAAACCTGCAATAAATGATGCATGAAAGCTATTGCATCAATTAATTACCTCAAAAGCAGTTCATCACGTTTGATAGTGTACACTCCACTGCAGGTATGTCCCTGCTCATACAGTTCCTTACAATCATGTGCAATGTTACTCATGCAGCCTATAGGTATAAATAGGATGATACAATATCAGTTAGTAGCTATCATACCTGTCTCTTGAGTTTGATAAATAGTGATTGTTCCAAGAAAAAAAGAAAAGGAAAAGGACACAAAAAGCAATATCCCATTTCTTCTTATCATTTAACTGATCATTTAGTTCCTCAGCCATAACTGACAGGCACCTCTTTGCAATAGATTGAAGGGCGGATTTTTACTCTCACTGTAACATACATAGCAACGTAAACACACAATTCATGAATATAGAACTGAAAGTGAAATATGATATCATGTAAAGGGCCTGCCTTTTAGGGCATTGCATGTTTGGCAAATAGATCTAATTGAAGTTATTATCATCATTATTGAAAAATAAAATTGAAGGTAAAGTGAGAATGAGAGAGAAGTGAATGAAAAATATTTTATATCATTCCTCCCTCTCATTATAACAACAAGAGAGATCAAAGGGACTGTTTTATAACAAGAAAACATAATATCATAACTGTATAGCTATAGAATTATTTACTAATAACAGGTAGTTGTTAAGGAAAACGACAATGCTGTTTCATTTTCTACTAATTTTCATTTCAGACACCTTTAAAGAATAACGATGGCCTTTAAAACTACCCCAGTTCACTCCATCAGCAAAAGTGGTATGTGCACCAATCAAATACCGAGCATTAAGATTTGAAACATGACCTTCAGTATACCACCATGCTCCTTTGTATGCAATAGCACAGTTAATATCAGCGATATCATTGTCATAATCATGAGTTGAAAATTTCATCTTATCATGACCAGATAAGCTGTCTCCAGCATTCCCACTGTATCCTCCTACTGTTAGTGTGTATTTTGTATGTGCATCTCCAACTATAAATGTAGAATAATGAGCAAACACACTGACACCTTCAAAATCTTCCAAGTCAACACGTAGGCTAGTATTGTCTGTTGCTGTGAGTCGGTGTATTTTATCAAGTCCCAGCCAGAACTCTCCATTGAGGTCTCCAAATCCTTTTCGGTAGTCGGCCCACTTGAGATAAAAGTTAACTGAGCCATCCATTCTCCTTTGAAATACAGTCCAACCACCACCACTACTCATATCACAATAAACCTACCAAATAATAATGCATCTTGATACTACAGCTATTGCATGAATAAATTACCTCAAAAGCAGGTAGTTTATCAGGTTTGATAGTGTATACTCCACTGCAGGTATGTCCCTGATCATATAGTTCCTTACAATCACGTGCAATACAACCTATTAGTCTGTGAATAGAGCTTCACAATATTTGTTTCTGCCATACTTGTTTTCACTATGGTTGTCTCTTGACAATCAGAATCATTAGATCTATTATCCTTACAATCACATGTAATACAACCTATTAGTTCAAAAATAGAGTGAAGCAATATTAGTCTGTGTCATACCTGTGTCTTGATGATCAGAATTGTATTGATTGATCGTAATGATGGTTCCAAGAAAAAACCAAATAAGGAACAGTAGACAGAAAATAGTTATCACAGTATCCAGTGTGAAAAGCACTAAAGCATGTAATCTTGCAATATTCCCCTTTTTATTATTCAGTGCATTATTTAAGCTCTGATTATTTAAGTTATGATCATTCAGTCTGTCATTCAAATTCTCATCATTTAATTCCTCATCCATAGCAGCCATATAGATCTGTATTTATGATCCTCAAATGAAAATGATGACCAAAGGAAAGTTAAAACAGTGAAGCCTCCCTTTTGCAGTAGTTTGAAGGGTGGATCAACTCTTGCTGTAACATGCATAGCAATGTAAACACAACTTATGAATACATGAGTAAATTTGAAATATGATACACCACTACTTTTCTAATGGGCTTGACTTCAAGGTATTGTCTGACAATAGTAATTAAACAATAAATTAAAATCTAAAAAAAATGAGAGTCTTAATAATTAGAGTCATTCTCTCCGAATAATGACTTCACTATCCTTGGTTTAAATTAATTTTATTTATCTAATATTACTAATTATCACCATCTAAAAAATTTAATTAAAATCTGGAAAAAGAATACAACAAAGTTTTAATAGTCATAATAACACTAGGAGCTGTTTTACTACTAATAGTCTAGGATAATAAAAACTATTGCTAATAATAGACATCAGACACTTAATTTCTTCTAATCTTCATTTCAGACACCTTCAAAGAATAGTTGTGGCCTCTAAAACCTAACCAGTTCACTCCATCAGCAGGTGTGCTATGAGGTCCAGCCAAATATTGACCATTAAGATTTGAATGATGACAATCATTGTACCACCATGCTGCTTTCACATGAATAGCACAATTCAAAGTATGATGGGCATCATTGTCACGATCGTGAGTTGTAAAGTTCATCTTATTATGAAAAGCTAAGCTGTCTCCAGCATTCCCACTGTATCCTCCTACTGTTAGTGTGTATTTTATATGTGCATCTCCAACTATAAATGTAGAATAATGAGCAAACACACTAACACCTTCAAAATCTTCCAAGTCAACACGTAGGCTAGCACTGCCTGTTGCAGTGAGTCGGTGTATTTTATCAAGTCCCAGCCAGAACTCTCCATTGAGATCTCCAAATCCTTTTACATATTCTGTCCACTTGCGATAGAAGTCAACAGAACCATCCACTCTCCTTTGAAATACAGTCCAACTGCTACCATTACTCATATCACAATAAACCTGCAATAAGTGATTCATAAAAGCTATTACATGAGTTAATTACCTCAAAAGCAGGGAATTCATCAGGTTTGATAGTATACACTCCACTGCAGGTATGTCCCTGATCATAGAGTTCCTTACAATCATGTGCAATGTTACTTATGCAGCCTATAGGTATAAATAGGATGACACAATATTAGCTAGTAACTAGCTATGATACCTGTCTCTTGAGTTGAATAAATAGTAATTGCTCCAACAAAAAACTAGATAAGAAACAGTAGACAAAAAATAGTTATCACAGTATCCAGTATCAAAAGCACTAAAGCATGTAGTCTTGCAATACAGCTCTGATCATTTAAGAATGGATCATTTAAGTTCTGATCATATAAAAAGTTCTGAGTAGCCATATAGGTCTATATCTATGACCCTCTGATGAAGATGATGACTAAAGAAAATTTAAAACAAAAGTTAAAACAGTGCCCAGAAGCCTCCCTATTGAAACAGTTTGAACTTTGAAGGGTGGATCAACTCTTGCTGTAACACATAAAGCAACGTAAACACACAATTCATGAATATAGAACTGAAAGTGAAATATGATATCATGTAAAGGGCCTGCCTTTTAGGGCATTGCTACTTTGGAAAATAGATCTAATTGATTTTATTATCATCATTATTGAAAAATAAAATTGAAGGTATAAAGTGAGAATGAGAGAGAAGTGAATGGAAAATATTTTATATCATTCCTCTCTCTCACTATAACAACAATAGAGATCAAAGGAACAGTTTTACAACAAGAAAACATAATATCATAACTGTATAGCTATAGAATTATTTACTAATAATAGGTAGTTGTTAAGAAAACTACAATGCTGTTTTATTTCCTATTAATTTTCATTTCAGATACCTTCAAAGAATAATGATGGCCTTTAAAATCATACCAGTTCACTCCATCAGCAGGTGTGCTATGTGCACCAGTCAAATATCGACCATTAAGATTTGAAGAATGACACTTATGGTACCACCATGCTCCTTTGTATGCACTAGCACAGTTACCATCATAGATATCATTGTCACGATCATGAGTTGAAAATTTCATCTTATCATGACCAGATAAGCTGTCATTAGCATTCCCACTATATCCTCCTACTGTTAGTGTGTAGCTAGTGTGTGCACCTCCAACTATAAATGTAGAGTAATGAGCAAACACACTAACACCTTCAAAATCTTCCAAGTCAACATGTAGGCTAGAATTGCCCGTTGCTGTGAGTCGGTGTATTTTATCAAGTCCCAGCCAGAACTCTCCATTGAGATCTCCAAATCCTTTTATGTAGTCGGCCCACTTGAGATAAAAGTTAACCGAACCATCCATTCTCCTTTGAAATACAGTCCAACCACTACCATTACTCATATCACAATAAACCTATAAATGCAGACTCCACTATGAATTAGATAATTATTGGTACCTCAAAAGCAGGTAGTTTATCAGGTTTGATAGTGTACACTCCACTGCAGGTATGTCCCTGCTCATACAGTTCCTTGCAGTCACGTACAATGTCACTTATGCAGCCTATAGGTATAAATAGGATGATACAATATCAGTTAGTAGCTATCATACCTGTCTCTTGAGTTTGATAAATAGTGATTGTTCCAAGAAAAAAAAAAGAAAAGGAACAGGACACAAAAAGTAATATTTGATTTATTATCAACATTTAACTGATCATTTAGTATCTCAGCCATAGTTGACAGCTGAACTTAAGTTTAAGTTTAAAGCTGGCACCTCTTTGCAATAGACTGAAGGGCGGATTTTGACTCTCGCTATAACATACATAGCAACGTAAACACACAATTCATGAATATAGAACTGAAAGTGAAATATGATATCATGTAAAGGGCCTGCCTTTTAGGGCGTTGCTACTTTGGCAAATACATCTGATTGAAGTTATTATCATCATTATTGAAAAATAAAATTCAAGTTAAAGTGAGAATGAGAGAGAAGGGAATGAAAAATATTTTATATCATTCCTCCCTCTCACTATAAAAACAACAGAGATCAAAGAGACTGTTTTACAACAAGAAAACATAAGATCATAACTGTATAGCTATAACATTATTTACTAATAGTAGGTAATTGTTAAGAAAACTACAATGCTGTTTTATTTCCTATTAATTTTCATTTCAGATACCTTCAAAGAATAATAATAGCCTTTAAAATGAAGCCAGTTCACTCCATCAGCAAAAGTGGTATGCGCACCAGTCAAATATTGACCATTAAGATTTGAATAATGACACTTAAAGTACCACCATGCTCCTTTGTATGTACTAGCACATTGATCATCATCAATATCATTGTCACGATCATGAGTTGAAAATTTCATATTATTATGATCAACAGATAAGCTGTCATTAGCATTCCCACTGTATCCTCCTACTGTTAGTGTGTAGCTAGTGTGAGCACCTCCAACTATAAATGTAGAATAATGAGCAAACACACTGACACCTTCAAAATCTTCCAAGTCAACACGTAGGCTAGTATTGCCTGTTGCTGTGAGTCGGTGTATTTTATCAAGTCCCAGCCAGAACTCTCCATTGAGATCTCCAAATCCTTTTTTGTAGTCGGCCCACTTGAGATAAAAGTTAACCGAACCATCCATTCTCCTTTGAAATACAGTCCAACCACCACCATTACTCATATCACAATAAACCTGTAAATGCAGACCCAATTATAGGTGGAAACTATTCATTGTATGAATTAATTACCTCAAAAGCAGGTAGTTTATCTGGTTTGATAGTGTACACTCCACTGTGGGTATGTCCCTGCTCATATAGTTCCTTGCAATCATGTGCTATTAGTCTATAAATAGAGTAACACAATATTAGTTTGTGTCATACCTGTATCATGATGATCAGAATTGTATTGATTGATAGTGATGACGGTTCCAACAAAAAACCAGATAAGAAACAGTAGACAAAAAATAGTTATCACGGTATCCAGTATGAAGAGCACTAAAGCATGTAGTCTTGCAATATCCATCTGATCATTTAGGACCGGATCATTTAAGTTCCGATTATACTGATCATTTAAGTTCTGATCATTCGACCTGTTATTTAAGTTTTCATCATTTAATTCCATAGCAGCCATATAGGTCTATATCTATGATCACAGAAGAAAATTTAAAACAAAAATTAAAACAGTGAAGCCTCCCTATTGAAATAGTTTGAACTTTGAAAGTTATAGGGTGGATCAACTCTTGCTGTAACATGCATAGCAACGTAAACACACAACTCATGAATACATGCAGAAATTTGAAATATGATATACCACTACTTTTCTAATGGGTTTGACTTTCAAGGTATTGTTTGACAATTATTAATTGAAAAATACATTAAAACCTGAAGAATGAGAGCCTTAATAATAATCAGAGTCATTCTCTCTGAATAGTGATTCTACTACTTTTCATGGTTTAAAATTAATTTTATCTACTTCATTAATTTAATAGTAACTATTACATCTGAAAAATTAAAATCTGGAAAAAGAATGCAACAAAGGTTTAATTAATAGTCATCATAACACTAGGAACTGTTATACTATTACTAGTCTAAGATAATAAAACTGTTGTTACTAATAGACATCAGACTTTTACTTTCTTCTAATCTTCATTTCAGACACCTTCAACGAATAGTTATGGCCTTTAAAACCTAACCAGTTCACTCCATCACCACGTGTTTTATGAGTTCCAGCCAAATATTGACCATTAAGATTTGAATGATGACAATCATTGTACCACCATGCTGCTTTCACATGAGCAGCACAATTCAAATCATGATGGGCATCACTGTCACGATCGTGAGTTGAAAATTTCATATTATTATGCACACATAAGCTGTCTCCAGCATTCCCACTGTATCCTCCTACTGTTAGTGTGTAGCTAGTGTGTGCACCTCCAACTATAAATGTAGAATAATGAGCAAACACACTGACACCTTCAAAGTCCTTTAGGTCAACACGTAGGCTAGTATTGCCTGTTGCTGTGAGTCGGTGTATTTTATCAAGTCCCAGCCAGAACTCTCCATTGAGATCTCCAAATCCCTTTATGTATTCAGTCCACTTGCGATAAAAGTCAACAGAACCATCCATTCTCCTTTGAAATACAGTCCAACCACTACCATTACTCATATCACAATAAACCTGTAAATGCAGACCCAATAGGTGGAAATAGGGCTAGGCAAATATGCTAATAATGCTAGTAATTTGGAGCATAATAGGGCAAGTTATTATGCTGGAATAATTGGAGCATAATGGGTAAAATTTCTGACCCCATACCCCTGACCACATGAAATTACAATTCAATACAGCAAGTACTAGTGCAACTATAGTCCTCGTGCCTACGCAAAGCTGAGCGAGGCCAATGACTTGGATTATTTTATTTTTCAGTGATTCAAAGTCTTAGAAAAAACATTTTCAGATTCTGGCATTATTACAATAGATTATTTTTATTACAATTATATAACAGATACATACATGCAAGAGTACATAATATTATTATGTACTCTTGATACATGTAAGTTGATATAATTGGATTAATTTCAAAGCATAGTATCTAGAATGGAATTCGGGGCAGTGCCTAAAAGCATAATTTGCTAGCCCTAGGTGGAAGCTATTCATTGTATGAATTAACTACTGGTACCTCAAAAGCAGGTAGTTCATCAGGTTTGATGGTGTATACTCCACTGCAGGTATGTCCCTGCTCATACAGCTCCTTACAATCATGTGCAATACAACCTACTTTATTTAAAATAGAGTGAAGCAATAGTTAGTCTGTGTCATACTTGTCTCTTTAGACTGATAGTTAGGGATAGCTGCAAGAAAGAACCAGATGAGAAGGAGATAAAAAGTGCATTTCAATATATCTAGAGTGAAAAGCACTGAAGAGTGTATTCTTTCCATATTCCATTTATTATCATTTATCCTGTCGTTCAACCTGTCATTCAACATCTCATCCATAATACTAGACCTCGTACTACACTCCCAAGCAAACCAATGCCAAGCCACGCCTATTAAAGTTAATAACTTTATATTATAATAATTACTAAGTATCACCATCTGAAAAAATAAAATTAAAATCTGGAAAAATAATACAACAAAGAGTTGTAGGAAGAGAATGAGAGAAAGAGAGAGAGGAGGGGATACAGAGAGCAAGGTGTACAAACAGAGTCTTGATGATTCTCCTTCTCTCTGATCAACAGAGAAACAAAAAACATGAACATATTGAAATGAACTAAAATTACATAAAGAAAAGAAAAAGAGAGAGAAAGAAAGTGAGAGGATAGAATATAGAAAAAAGACGGAATTAATCCTTCTTCCATTTACCCTCCCCTCCTCTCTCCTATTGAATCCTACGAGAAAGAAGAGGGATCAGCCGAAGGGCCATTCTCCATTAAATCAGATTGAAGATAAGAGGTAGTCGCTAGGCCCGTTCTTCTCCTAGTACCGCCAAATGTAGGACTATCAGTAGGACCCCCACCTCCACCACCAGGTACAGGAGCTGGAGCTACAGGACCAAACCCACCACTACTACCACCACTGGTCTTTCTCTCAATGTCAGTACTCTCAAAAAACTTGACTCTTTCTTTAATAGAGCTTGATCGAGGTCTTACATATCTCACTGGGGAGACGTTTTGGGTGG